GACAGTGAAATTGAGGTGGAAAACTATAGTCAGTATTGGTTTCTGGCTTTGTTTTGGGGCTAATTTAATAGTTTAAAGCTCTAGGGTCTCTTCTCTAATGACTGGGTGTAGCCAAGGTGACATCAGTGTGCTATAGCCTGGGTCTCTGCTGCCTTCCAGAAGGAGAGAGCACTGCTGAAGCTTTTCTTGTGCAAATCTTGATTTGCCTTCCATCTCTAAATCTGTCTCTGAAGTAGTGTTTGCTGCTCTGTGCTAACAGTACAGGATAAATCAGATTGTCCCTTTCAGCTGCCTTTTCCAGTACCCCTCTTGGTGTTGAGATGTCAGGGCTGGGCTGGGAAAAAGAGGTTCTGGGCAGGGTAGGACCTCTCCCTTTTGGAAGCCCAGTGTTGTATCATCTGAACTTGGCTGTGACAGCATGGAGTGACTTAGAGGGCCAGGCTCTCTAAGTGCCTGGATGTTGCCTCTGACTTCCCTTTTCAGTCTGCTACTAAAGATGGCCAAAAGAAAAATTACATCAATTTTAATTTCATTTGAGATGTGATATACTTACAGAATCTCTTGGTGCCCTCTGAAGTATGTGTGGACTTTAAAGATCAGCAAGCAACAACTTATAGTTGTAAAGAAGGAACATTTTTATCAGTGCTAATCTCTTAAGCGCTACCTCAGTTTTTGAAGATGTATTTTCAAAAGTACTCTTCATGAGCTGCAAAATGTGCATGCATTTCAAAATTTTAATTTTTACTTAGGTAAGAAAAAGTGTAAAGATTATGGTTTATGGAAGACAGAATGGGTATGTTGAGGAAATGGAGGAGAATCAATCCCTTACAGAAATACAAGTCTTTGGTTGTAAGGGCAGAAAATACATTGTTCTTTTCTCTACCTAATGCAGACTAACAAAACCACTCCATCTGTCTGCCTTCAGAAAAGATGGTAAAATGGTAGGATTCTCTGCTGGCCAGTTTGCTACACTGTGCAGATTTAGCTGCTGTTCTCTTTAGTTTTATGCAGTGGTGTTTCCTATGAAGTTTTAAGGTTGAGGACCCCATTACCTGATTTTATTGAGCTACATTTATTTGTACTCTAAATGCTTGTCTGAATATTGGGCTTTGGTTATCCTGGAGGCTGAGTGATCCCCTTGTCTAAATTAACAGGGACTAATGTTTTGCCATATATTTAAAAAGTTAAATTAATGTCTTATAGAAGAGCAATGATACCTGCAGACAATCATTAATCATGTCTTCTGTACCCTGTAGATCATAGGGAAGCTAGTTTTGAAATTTGAGCTTGAAACAGAATAACTATTTTACTTCCATGAAATAAGGTTTAATTTCCATTTGAAGATATAGAAATTAAATGTTAGCTATTCTAGGACACTATGAATGTATTTACCAGGCTTTGTTTTAAGCCATGTGGACTGAAATATTTTTTTCATGATAACAAATACTTAAAAATTGTGTATACAACATCTGAATCCCATCTGTTGTTATTGTTATTATTACTGCTGCTATTAATGTATTGTCATATTTAGAAATATGACAATATTAGAAAAAAAATATCATAATTAAAATTAAGAGGACATACAAAGACTGCAGTATGTTTACAATATGTTTCCTAACTGAAAGTATCTCTTGACCAGGAACTTATTAGTCTGATACTTTATGGATCAGTTTTTCCATAAAAAATCTGTACTAAATTAATTGGGGAGAATGATCTGTAAGTTCAGAGGACATTATCAAGAAAGAAGCAGCTATTCAAAAATAATTAGAAATACATTATCAACAGTTCAGTGTTGTTTGAGAACATTTAATAGCTGCTCAAAAAAAATAATTATCATAGTTTGAAAAGTAAGACCGTCATGAGCTGACTCATAACTGTGTGGCATAGAAAGGCAGTGTTAGTGAATGGAAACAGTAGTCTCAAGGTCCTGCAAAGTTGGATTTTGAACCTGTTTTTTTAATATTTCTATCAAATATATGGTAGACATTGTAACTGTTACTGGTAAAAAGTAAGAGCTAAGAAACAGATAAAATAGACAGTTACTGGTAAAGAGAACATAATCTCATTAACTCAGCTAAGCTCAGGCACATGCTTTTCAGCATATCTAAATATAATTTTGTGTCTTGAAGTAAGAAAGGCACACTATATTTTCATCTTTATACCAGGAAGCCATTATCCTTTAAACCTCCTTTCTCACAAGCAGGGAGTTGCAGTTATCGGTAAACTCTGGACTTGTTCTGTTACGCTTTCGCCAAAAGGCCTCGCACATCCAAGAGCTGCAGTACTGCAGCTGCATTATCTTTGCATTTGATGGTGTTCCAGAAAAAATCTGGAATGCTGGTTCCAGATGGGTGTGCTTCAAGAAGGACATAGAAAACTGGAGATGATTCAGGGTAGGGTTGTAAGAATGATGAAGGAATTGGAAATGTGCTGTTTGCTGAAAGATTTAGAGCTCAGTCTGCTTAATTTAGCAAAATTGTGGTTAAGACACCATTTGATCACAGTCTTAGTGTATTCATTTGGGAGCAGAAGTGTGATAATAGATAGTGCCTCCTTTTAGCAAACAGAAATAAAACACAAAACAGCAGCTTTGAAGTTAAGTCAGCCAAATTAGTTTGGAAATAAGGTGCAAAATTGTGACCAGGAAGGGAGATAAAACCTGGGCAACTTACCAATAGGTATGATGCATTTACAAACACTAGAAATACCTAAGATTGGATGTGTTCCTGAAAAATTCACCGTAGTCTTGGTTGAATGTTAAAAGCACCAAACCTCTGCATGATTTTGTACCAGGAGTGATATATACAGTGTGTTATAGTAGGGCTGAGCTATTTGTATGCAATGCTTGATGATCACAGCTGCTTGTTCACTCTTAATAAGCTACTACAGACATGGACTTCCTTGAAGCCTGTGGGAATCATGTGTAAAAACAAGGATTTCTCACACAGTAGAAGCAGGTTACTAAAAAGAGATTATTTTTCCCCTTCCCCACACTCCCCCTTTTCTTTATTTACATGCGTTTGATTTGAGAACAGATGAAATAAAAGTTACTAATTACTTAGTACATATTGGATTCAAGAAACTGGAGATGTGAAAATAATTGGAGACTGAGACATAGTGAAGGAACACATTAAAGGTCCTTTTCTTATTCTTCCCTAAACATTAAATTATCTCTTTGGGGAGATAATTTACTGGACTGATAGATTATTGAATCACTGACCCCATGTGGATTTTCCTATATGCTAACAGTGTTTGGTTATACTCTATTATCTTCTGAGAGATGAAATCTGTAGCTTAAATTACAGCATGTAATGTATCAAAATGTGAACCTCTCAGAACAAGTATATGCAAAAGAATCTTTCTTGAAAATAAAGAAGGTTAAAAAAAAACCCGGAACAACCAAACTGAACTTTAACATTGATTAGTTGTATCAGTTTTACTATAGCAACTGATTGTATCAGTTTTAATCATATCAGCATATTAACATATCAGCTTAAAACTGGAGTGTACATTTTGTTCTTGGAACTTTAGTTCTGGCGTACTGGGCAGATTTATAATGCAGTTAATACCTCTGTTCCTTTAGATACGAGTTTCCAGTGCTGGAAAAATACCCCAGGAAATTAGCCTGTGTAATGGGATTACTTTCCAATTATTTGCTGAAATTACTTTTTCTGTCTTGTTTAGCTCTGAATGTTTTCAAACCACTTCATAGTACAGTATATGGAACATGTTTGTAGCCTGTGAGTTGCCAGTAAATCTGTGCATCAGCTGCTTAGAGCCACTGATTGAGCCATTGCTAGAAAAGCAAAGAGAATTAGTAAAATACTTGAATGAGAAGAAAGCTGCATAATTAGGGCATTGCTTTTATGTATCCTATTACATAGATAACATGGAGCTGCCTGACTGGAGAGTGTGCTGGTGTTGACATTAAATTGAAGATCACAGTATTCAGAAAGTCTGATCTGATAGCAAGCTCTGTCTTGGGCTCTTCCACTTGATGAGTAATATTAGACCAGCAGTACACTATGTACTAATCTTAAATGTCAGACTGGAACTGTTCTTGAAAGATTAACATACACTATAATCTAATTTTTTTTTTCTGATATACCTATCTAGAAGTTTATGAAACTTTTTAATGAGCCTTTTTATTATAATAATTTTAATTTGCATATCATGGAAGCAGAGACTTTGCTGTCATATTTCTTACTGAAGGTATCTAATACTGTTTAAGTCAGGCAATTTGCATAGTTGTAATAAACATCAATATATTTGTGTGTGGTGAAGCTTTATATTTCCCATCAGACTAAAAATATTTTGCTCTCACTGTTGTTTTGCAATGAACACAGTTTTGGTTTTTTGATCAAAGATACTTAAGTCACCTGTATATATTATGCCATTTATTTAGCTTTGAAGTAGATTGCATAAAATCTACTCAAACATTGAAATCTAAAATTAAAAAATGGTACTTCTAATTGCCATGTAAAATGTAAATACACAGCAGTCATCCACACGTTTTCTTGCTAAAATTTTTATTTAGCAATTTTACTTTCTGAATAGTAATGGTTCATGATTTTACATAGGCTCTGTTTTTACAGAGATATCAGTGAAGGATTTCTTTGTGTATGTGTATTTTAGTATTTTGAAGACACAGATTTTTACTGGTTACTTGTTAAAATCCTCATTTTATTTCAGAAATGTTACAGTTTGCATTGATAGGGTAAATTTATATGAAATGGGTTCAAATTTATTCTTGATACTTGCTTAAAATTGAGCGGAAAATGTGAATAATTTTATAGTAAGTATAAAACCATGCTATTAATGACTCAATTTAGTATTTTAGGATAATTTATTGTTCACTGGAAATGCAAGTGGGGAAAAGTAGCTATGTTCTAACACTGGTAACAAAGTCATATATTTCATATATTCCACGAGTAGTACAAGTAAGAAATCACAAGAGCTGTAATTTGATGACATTTTGGGCGTTTGTTTTTTCTTTTCAGTCAGTGGCAAAGACTGGGCGACTGCTGATTAGCCATGAGGCTCCCTTGACAGGAGGATTTGCATCTGAAATCAGTTCCACAGTTCAGGTACACAGGTTATTTGTTTTTAAGTGTTCTGCATGGATGAATACATGTTACCCTGTAGAAAAAAATACCAGTACATTAAAAATTGAGGTTTTATATTTTTTTTAATTACTCTCTTTTGCAGTTTTGTGGATGCTTGTCTTTATTTGAACAGCTGAGAAATCATGTACCTACTAGGCACTGTGCATAGTGTCTGCTAAGCTAGAAATTTAATTTCCACTGCAAAGCAGGGAGAATGTGCACTATGAGATGCAGGGGAAAAATCTTCGCGTACAGTCTGGTTTTAATGTTCTTTTTTATTTTTCTCATATGCTTATCCCTTGAGTTTCATAAAAATGCATTCTAAGAATGTTGAAATCACAGAAAAAGCATTAAGGTCCAGTACAGTATAACATAGTGTAGCACACAGTGTTCAGAGACCTCATTAGAAAAGTCTGCAGAAGTTGTTCTTGTATGTTTGTGGTGATGCTCATGCACGTGTTGAGCTTGTATGCACAGAACAGCTTGGAAAGGCTGAGATGTACATCAGTATCAGTTACTTCTGGAGCATTAGGTTTCCCAAGTCCTTTTGAGCTTTCTGATGTTGTTTATACCTGTACCTCCTTGGACGTTTTACCCTTAACTTGGTTTCTTTCCTGTGCACATCAGTGGTACTGGTTTGTAGAAACATCTAAATTAAATGTGTCCATCATTATCTGAAGACTCTTTTTTTATTTTTCTAGGATAGTTAAATTATAGGACTAGAGTGAAATGGGATTGTAAAATTCACAAAATATAAACCATGTAGGCAGTAATTAAAGCTTGGTAGTTAGTCTTTTTATGGGGAGGAATAGAGTTTAATTCTGGGAGTGTAACTTTGAATTAAATATGCAGAAGGAATCAGAATACTATGCTTCTTTATCTTTGTGCTACAGTATTTTAAAGAGTTGTTGTAGTGATTTTAATGTAATTATATTAAGGTCAATTAATTTTATCTACCAAAATGTTTTCTCCATTAAGAAGCAAATATTTGGTTCATGGAGGCCTCATAGCAGCCCTCCATTATCTGAACGGAGCTTACAAGGAAGCTGGAGAAGGGTGCTTCATCAGAAGCTGTAGTGATAAGAAACAGAGTCATGGATTCAAACTGAACAAAGGGAAATTCATGTTAAATATATGGAAGAAATTCTTTACTGTGAAGGTGTTGAGGTATTGGAACTGGTTTCCCAGAGAAGCTCTGGATGCCCCATCCCTGAAAGTGTTCAAGGCCAGGTTGAATGGAGGAGCTCTAAGCAGCCTGGCCTATTGCAGGGAGTTGGAGCTAGATGAAGGTCCCTTCCATCCAAACCATTCTGTGATTCCATGATTTTTCATCCTTCTAAATAATCAGCATTTAACTTTTCTTTAGTAAATAGTCTCTGTTTAAACTAGGACTAATAAAGTCACAGGATACTGTCAGCTGCGAGTGTAGGAAATTAATTTTCTTTATAAATTCTCACAAAAAATGTGAAATACACTCAATCAAAAGAGCCTGTCTTCCAGCATCTTGTATTATTATCAACAGTTGAGAAAACTATTCTAAGGTGAGCAGCAAAGTCAAAATCTAGCATATAACAAAGGAAAGCATGTGTTGGATTAAAAAGTGAGCTGAAAAAAAATCTTACCAGTAAATATCATTGAAAAAACATGGGATGCCAAACATATTGCTAAAATTACAACACGATTTTTTAATCTTCAGACCTCCACTGAGAATGCTACTTAACTGATTGATCCTTCTTGAGGTGTTGTTTTTCATATCAGGGATATATATGACAAATATCACTTGTTTAGAAAACAAAGTCGAAAATGCTTTACTGAAGGGCAATTTATCTCTGTCAACATTGAAAGAAAATATTTGTTTTATTATAGTTGCTCATAATTTTATATTCATCTTTCTTAGTAAACTAGGTTTTGCATCTTAAGAAAAACTGGTCTGTTGCATATGGTCCCTCAGAATAAATTCAAATATAACTCTTTGGCATTGCATTTATCCACGACAAGTTTCTTTTATACAAACTGCCTGACTTGGCTCTGTGTTATAACCATATTGTCATTACTCTGTATATCCTTTCTTGAAGATTCTATCATCCATACTAAAATTTTGATATGAGTATTTTAAAGATTATACTACAAAAGGGATAAAAATAAAAAGCTACAACTTTTTAAAGAACAGTATTGCTTTAAGCATAATAAAGACCTTGCTTTTCTTATTCAGTTAAAAGTATTGATTTCTTAGCAGTCAAGTAAAGTCTGTATGTCTAATATCACTGTGCAGTTAAAATTAAAACAAAAAGTGAAATTCTCTTTTGCTGGATATAATGCATACGAAGAATGCCAAAAATTGGGGATTGCAGTTGGCTTTAGTTTCTTCTTACACATGGAAGTAATAAGACTTCAATAAAATATGTCCAGTTGGATTAGATGGTTAGTTTCCATATTGTTGTTCCATCCTTGCTGTGAGGTCTCATCATAGAAATAAGGTGAATAGAAGTACATAGGCTATTTTAAAAGTTAGTGTTCACATGCACTTCATGGTGATATACAATTCAAGGAAAATAGTACAAATGGAAATGATGGCTTTCACTCACTATCTATAGGAAAAAATACATTGAATGCTTTTCTTCTTGCGTATGAGAGATGGAAAACAGCATTTGGAGAGCATGTTAAATCAGATTTGTTGTGCGTTGAGTACAGAATATTTTAAAGGGGCACATTATTGCACTAAGTGGTCATTTACTCTGCTCAGACATAAAATTAAAAACAAGAAGAGGTGGTGTACTTAAAACTCTACATGATATGACTTTGGCCTTTGCTCCAGTGTTTCATATGTGCTCTCAATGAGTATTCTGAAGTGAGCAACAGATTCCAGGACAAATTCAATACAGGTACAGTTTAAAGTCTAAATAGGTTATATTCTGTACAAAAGCTTGCAAAACTGTCATGTTCAGCAGAGAAAGTGTTAAACTTGCATAAAGCACAGCTTGAGAAACCTTGGGAGAGAAGCCCACTGAGATGTCACTTCCAAAATAATGAAGAATTGTGTGTGGAAATCATCAGTACATTAATAATTTGTAATTCACAGAAACATAAATCCAGTAACTGTGTCCTGTTTAAAAACAAATTTTTTTTTAAAAAAAGGGGGAAAAAAAAAAAGAGAGTGAACCAGGCAGGATGGAGACAGCACAAAGAGTAAGGGACTCTGGATTACTTTACAGGGTTGCTGCCTGCCAGCACTGGGGACTTGTTGTGGGATGCAGGAGGAAGCATTTTGGAATCATAAAAGTCTTGTTGGATGTTTAGTGGAGAAACCAAAACTGGAGAGACGTGAGGGCCAAGGTTGTTTGGGAAGTTACAGGTATGGGAAAACTGAGACAGAAAGGGATAAAAAGGAAGTTTGTATTATGGCTTCAGTAATATGGTGGCTGCTATTTTCTGGTAGGGCTGAAATAAATGTATGGAAGTAACATATACCCTCTGGCATTGATCCTGCAAATACAGGAAATGTACATCTCAAGAAAATCTTGGTGGTTTTCTACCCATTCTCTGCAAGTAATGGCTAAAATTTTAAAAATAAAAAATGGCTTTAATAATTTTTAATGTTTTCATTTAAGGAATTTCAATTTTCATTTAGGAATTTCAATTTTGTTTACATTGATGCCATTATAGCAGGATACACCATGAAAATACATGCTACTATTAAAATAAAAGAAATGCATATGAGTAAAGAAATTTGTTAGCTGACCTGGTAAAAGTCATTGCTGTCTATAAAATAACAAGTCAGCACATTGTTTTTTGTAGGCAGTTGCACAGATGTGTCATTCTTGCAGGAACAGAGCAATTCTGATTTGATTGCAGTTCCTGTCTTTGTAGCACAGTTTCTTTTCTTATTGCATGGTAAGTACTTTGTCCTTGGGCATCTCTCTGCACAGGGGATGTTGGGCCAGCTACCAAAGAAATGTACAGGTGAACACAGCTCCGTCCTCAGGAGCCCTTCCAGCTCTAGAGTGTTTCTCAGACTTACACAGAAGTATCAGTCTTCCAGAAGACTGGTATCAATCAGAGGATAGCACTCAGAAAATTCAGTGAAATAACCTGTTTCTGAGAGTTGAGTTACATGATCTTATTTTTTCAAATCTTGCATTCTGTATCTACAAATTGGGTATAACAGTATTTGTCTGTTTGATCAGTAGTGCCTTAGATTTTTTCATCCTGCAGCAAAATAAGGCCTAATCTCCAGTAAGTGGTGTAATTTCCTGCTAGAGTGTGGCATTAAGGGAAACTATTAGATGAGCTGATTTTGTGAGAAGCATTTCAGGAAAAGCAGTTATATCATGAAATACCTTTCAAAGACACAAATTCCAGAGCAGTTCTAAAACAGGTTACCATGGAAAAAAATGTGCCTGAGAAAGTTAAACAATGAGAAAAAGAAATGTAGTGATTTTAGTGGTATGAACATATAAAATAAAATGAACTGGTATTGACTGATATTGAACAGGAACTGTGTTGAGTAATTATTATTTTACTGAGTCCTAATGAAAAAAATTTCACCTTTCCAATAAAATGCTTTCAGAACGTTTGTCCCAAATACTTCTTCATGCCATTGTATTATCTGTCTTTAGAATTTGGCATGTTGAGATATTCCAAACAGTTCCATTTTTCCAGTAGAAGCTAAGGTGGGATTTCCCAAGGAAGCTGTAACAGTCCTCTGTGGCTCTCTGTGGTGCTTTGAGGAAGTGAATGCAGTGCAGTACTTAAAAATACCCATGAGACCAGGCTTAAGGTTCAGATCATGCACCTGTGTTCGTACTTAGCGCAAAAGGAATTAATGAATAATTTCGTCTGTGGGATTGGTTTTGAAGTTACGGTGAATAACATCAGACTTTGTGCTGGTGCAACTCAAAATCTTATTTTAATGAACAGGCTGTAAACTGGTATTAAAGTCTGACTTTATTGGAAGCAATGAATCTGGTGTAATTGTTATTAAT